ATAATGTCTCACTGGACAGATGGATAGATAGATAGATAGATAGATAGATAGATAGATAGATAGATAGATAGATAGAGCAATTATTTTACTCTGTTTTATGGATTTCAAAAATAAACTATCAGGGTTCTCTTCAGAAAATAGTATTTTAAAAAGATGAAAAAAGGAATCAATTTGACATCACCTTTTTCAGTTCAATTGATTGACATTAAAGAGAAGGAAGGACGACATGAAGGAAGGAGGGAGAGATGAGAGGAGGAAGAGACGGAGGGAGGAAGGGAAGGAAGGAAGGAAGGAGATGGAATAAAAAGGAAGGAAGGAAGGAAGGAAGGAAGGAAGGAAGGAAGGAAGGAGAAATATTTGCAACCTTCACGTGAGATGGGATTTAGCTACAGTAAATGGCAATTTTAGATAATCTTTGATCTTGTAAACCAGATATGGACCTGATTAATACTGGAGATCACCAGAAAGACCTATGGCTATAGGCCAAGTTGAGAAGTAAGAAAAAAAAGAGAGAGAACATTCTGAAAAAAAGAAGATAAATCAATTTTACTCATTGCAAAGAAAATTACTAGGGGCCATGCTTCCTAATTCACTAGGATTTGAACTCACTTCAAAGATATCTATACTTTCCATCGATTAACAAAGACAAGAAACTTTTGATGAGACAAAAACCATCTGTCCGAAATCCTCGTTCTACCCCGGAAAGGTCTCACATGCCACAGAAATTTGAATGAAAAGTCAGGAAATTTTTAATAACAACTTCACCCCCTCTCCCCCCCCCCAAAAAAAAGAAAGAAAGAAAAAAAAAATAGCCCCCGAGCCGATTTAATTACTTAGCAAGAATTAGATGAAAGAACATATGCTCTGCGTTTTACCGATCGTGCTTGCCAAATATTTTACATAAACGTTAATTGGCGAAAATCCCATGCCACAGAGGAAAAAAGCAAATGTAATTAGGGCTAGGTTAGCACCGAGTAAAGTTGGGGCCTGGAAATGTGAGAACAAATTACTCAATATTATCCTGAGAAATGCGTTCGTGCCTCTTTCCATCATACACGGCAATCCATCACTCTTTTTTTTTTTCTCTTTTCTCTCTTGCTGGTGGGGAAGGAGATTTTAATACCAGCGTTGCTGCCAAATGCGAGTTTCTCCCTAGTAAACATCCTGTTCTGTCTCTTGAGATAACCCAAATTGCTTTGCTCACCCAGAATTAATACTTCTATCAGTTCTCTACATCTTCCCGAGGAAGGAATCGCTCACTTTGCTTCGCACGTTCGAAAGCAATTTGCTGGAGCAACCAGCTGCACCGGGTACAGTATGGACACTCCTTGACTTACACCAGTTTGCTTAGTGACCATTTGAGGTCACAATGGCACTAAAAAAAGAGACAGATAAGATAAGATAAGATAAGATAAGATAAGGTAAGGTAAGATAACCTTTATTGTCATTTTTATACTGTGGGCACAATGGCACACATCAAAAATGAAATTTAGTGGCCCGCTCTCAAAGTGAAACACATGCACGACATACACCTAAACATACTATGAACAACATATGTATAGATCCACATCCCTACATATACGTAGCAAATAAATATTAAATACTGTCCATCTTGAATATATAACGGAAGGAGGAAGCTTGAGAGTTCGCAAGGTTAATGCTGTATGGAATGAAACTCTGGCTGAATCTGGATGTTCTGCTTCGGATAACACAAAGCCTCCTCCCAGAAGGTAACAAGGAAAACAGATCATGGAGAAGATGTGTAGTGTCCCAGACAATCTTACGGACCCTGCTCAAGCAGCGCTTCTGTGCTATGTCCTGGATGGGAGGGAGGGGAACTGCCAATGATTTTTTCGGCCATTCTCACCACTCTCTGCACCGCCTTCCTGTCTGAAGCAAGGATGCCTCCAAACCAGACTGTGATGCTGTATGACAGGATGCTCTCGATCGGCCCCCTGTAGAAAGTGGTCAGGACAGGAGAAGGAAGATGTGCTTTTCTCATGCGGCGCAGAAAATGCAGGCGCTGCTGTGCCTGCTCCACCAGTTTCTCACTGTTGAGCGACCAAGTCAGCCTACTCGTTAGCTGCACAACCAAGAATTTGATGCTGGTAACCATCTCCACTGGTGAATCATTGATGCACAGGGAAATGTGGCTGTGTCTGCCTTTTCTGAAATCAACAATGATCTCTTTGGTTTTTCCGGTGTTTAAAACTAGGCTGTTTTCCTTACACCAGTTCACCAACCCTTCAACCTCCTTGCGGTAAGCTTCCACCTTGTTACCCTTGCAGCATCTCCATGATCATGAGATCCAAATTTAGATGCTTGGCAATTGGTTCATATTTACGACGGTTGCAGTGTCCCGGGATCACATGATCCCCTTTTGCAACTGAGGCGAGAAAGGTTGTAAAATGGAGCAAAACTCACTTAATCAAACAACATAAATTTTGGGCCCCACTGTGGTCATCAACAGAGGACTACCTTGTGTTATAAAGTTGGGTCAACAGTGGAGAATTCTGATTTCTTTCAATGTAGATTTTTTTTCTTTTCTTTCCTTCCTTGCAATTTTGATCCGGACACGGTGGTCTGCAGAACGAACTGCTTCCTCTCTACCAGCGAAGAGAGGCAGGTGGGCAGAGGGTTGGATTAGAAGACCTTCGGTGTCCCTTTCACTCCTCTGATTTTGTGATTTGTTGGCCTCTGCATTTCTTCCTCAAAGCTTTGCATTTTGACAGAACCACCCAAAATTTGACACCCCCGCTGAAGTCGGCTGGTTTGACTGACCTACCAAAATTGATCAGATTCAACACAACATACTGCATTCTCTCTGCCACACACACACAAAAACACATCCTATACGTGTATGTTCCTCACCACGCCTAGCTTGCTCAGTTGTAATGGGTGAAAAAGTCTCTTGGTTGCTGTTTTTTGGAAGGAAAATTTAATAATCTTTAATTTGAGATCTGCTCTCTGGACTCCAGGCTGTCTTCCTAGATTGATGAGTAGGTTCAAGTGAAAAGCAAAACTTAGGAGGGTGAGACTTAGAAGATGCCCAAAACACTTGGTTAGTCTTAATTTTGGAGAGTCTTGCAGAAGAGGTCAACAGTATTAAGTATCTGGGGGTGCTAACTAACAATCTGAATTGGTCTAGATTCTGCGCAGCAGCACTGGGGATTCATCAGAAACATAAATAAGATACATATTTTTAGATCTTTTTAATAAACCTTTTTAAATTAATTTTATTATATGCGTTCTTACTCGTCATTAGATCATACTCAGTGCATTTTTATATATGTATGTACGTAAATAGTATACATTGGAGGTGGTGACGCTTTTGAGAGCTGGATGCAATGAAATTTCATTTTAATGTATGCCGATTAGTATACATTTAAAGTGACAATAAAGTTATTCAAAGTTTGTGATAGTTTTGCAAGAATCGATATGGGTTTGAGGACCCAGAAAAGGATGCATTTGTTGACCCCGTCAAGGATGCTGGATTAACATGGCCTTTATAAAAAAAGACGTTTCAAAGGTGTAACTTTGAATACATGTTTGCAATCCCCGGCAATATGCAAAATGCAAATCCGAAGAAGTGTGAAGAAGCATTTGCTGGAACAAATCTACGAGCGTCAGAAATGAAAACTGTGCAGTTTTCTGGGTCGGTAAATCTAAGCTCCACATAACATGTGAAGAGATCTTAATGGGCGGGTAAGATGGTTTTCGTTCAGCTTCTTTTTACATCTTACCTTTCAGCTCTCTCCATCTTCCCCCAAACCTATGCTTGCCAGCTTTTTTTACTATTAATGATTAAATTAAAATTATCTGCTCTATTCTGTTTGGGTACAACAGTTCCTAATAGTCTGAGTTTCACCCAGACCACTGACCAACACAATTTTAGATTTGTTCCTGAGTCACATCTGACAGAGACATCAAACTTTTCCATTGAGGAAAGTGCCCTAAAAAAATAAATAAACAGCAAACACACTGCTCAAATTTATGTTCCAACACCCAAGAAACTCAAGCCAGCCTCAGTGTTCTTTTGCAACACTGATCTGGGAAAATAAACCTTACCACAAAGAAAGGGGAAAACAGCAGAAATATACTATTTGGAATGTGAATGTTAGCGGCTGGGGTATCTTGAAAGTATATATATATATATATATATTAAAGCCAATCCCACCTGTCCTTAAATTAGCTTCAATATCTTTCATTCAGGTCCCTAGCACTGAATTCTCTCAGGCAAGCCAACTTCCAAACAGGACACCATGATTCTTAGCCAATGTTTAGTCAACTAAGCCCACTCCTAACCAATGCTTAGAAACGTCAGGTGAAATCTAACTCACTTGCTAGACAATCAAGGAGAATCTTTGTAGCTCAGGGTTGAAATGAGGGGGTCCTTGGTGTTCTTCGAGCTTGGTTCCTTTCTTGCAGACGTTTCATCCCCCAAAGTAGGGAACATCCTCAGTGCTAATAGCTGATGATGTTTCCTAGTTTGGGAAAGGAAACATCTGCAAGGAAACAACCGAGCTCAGAGAGCACCAAGGATTCCTTACTTGGTGGACACTTGGTTGGAGAAAGCAGATCTAACACCTTGGGAGATCTGGCGCATTCCATACTTGTTGGCCATCTCATTCTGGAGGGTTCTGGGACCTGGAATGGGATAAATTTTGGCCGAGCTCTCCTTGGTCTTAACCACTACGTTTTCTCTGCCACTCTGCTTCGGTTAAGACAGGGGTTCTCAACCTTGGCAACTTTAAGACTTGTGGACTTCAACTCCCAGAATTCCTCAGTCATCAAAGCTCGCTGAGGAATTCTGGCAGTTGAAGTCCACAAGTCTTAAAGTTGCCAAGGTTGAGAACCCCTGGGTTAAGAGGACACTTCAAATTGGGGGGGGGGGAAACAATACTTAGAACCGAGGCCAACAAAACATGGCAAGTTGGATTGGCATGCATCGGCACAGGGGGAGGTTGATGTTGGCTGCTTTGGGCCGGCCCTCTCCTCACCTTGACAGCATCCGCATGGGTCACCTTGTCCAGCGGCTTGTCGTTGACCTTCAGGATCCGGTCTCCCACCCGAAGGCCCTCTTTGTCGGCCAAGGAGCCCGGCTCCACCAGGGAGACGTAGATGCCAACGCCGTGCTCGGAGCCTCCTCGGATGCTGAAGCCCAAGCCTTCCTGAGCTTTTTGCCTTTTGAAGGTCACCTGCCTGACCTCTGCTCCAAGCTCCTCCAAGCCAGCAATGGGCTCCGCGGGAGCTGTCCCGTCCGCGGTGGTGCTGAATTCTTGCCGGAGCCTGCCGGAGGCCAAGGAAGGAGGCCACAAACGGGCAGCCGGGATGGGAGAGGGAAAGCGGGAGGAGGAGGAGGAGGAGGAAGAGGAGGAGGAGGAGGCAGCGGCGGGCGAAGGGAGGACTCGGGAAGACCCGGCGCCCTCGTACCCTCCTGCCCCAGCGCTGGGCAAGAAGTTCGCCTTTAAGTAAAGCCCCTCCGAGGTGTACTGGTCGAAGAGGAGCTGGTCCGAGCGAGGGATGACCAGGCGCAGCATAGGCAGCAGCTGCCTCTTCTCCGGGCCGTCCAGCAGGACTTTGAGCGTCTGCACCAAGTCGTAGACGTTCCGCCGGCAGTGATAGACGTTAAGGCAATGGATGAATTGCTCGCGCTCGCCTTCGCTCAGCAGCTGGTTGAGCGCCCCGTGCAGCTTCCGCACGTTGGCCGACAGCAGGCGGATGCCGGGTCCGGGGGGCCCGCTCCTGAACCCGGCCTGTCCCGCAGCCCCCTTGCCCGCTCCGTCGAAGGAAGGCGAGGAAGAGGCGCTGGAGGCGCGCGAACCCACCGACAGACGGTCCAAGTCTGTGCTCATCGCCTCCGGCCAGAGAGAGAGAGAGAGAGAGAGAGAGAGGCGGATCCTGGGCGGCCGCTGGGGAGCCGGGCATCGGAAGACAGCCGGACGGCGGGCCGTTCACTTGGGGGGCTCCCTTCTCCTCGCCCCCCTTAGCCGGAAGGGCGGAGGAGCCATCGGGGGAAGCAGAGCGGCCGGAGAAGCGAAAGGAGACGCCGGGTAGGGCGGCGGAGGGGCAGGCGCGCTCCGGGGGAAAGGCGTAGGCGAGCTGGCTCCTGGCCGGCGTCGCTTCTTCCCCTGCGGCGGCGAAAGTCTCGGCTTGCCCTTCGCAAGAAGAGGGGGGAGGAGAGAAAGGGCGGGAGGGAGAGAGAGAGAAAAAAGAAGAGAGAGGGGGAGAGAAAGAGAGTGGGAGGGAGGGCGGAAGAGAGGGAGGGAGGGAGAAAAAAAGGAGAAAGAGAGAGAGGGGGGAGGGAGGGCGGAAGAGAGAGGGGGGAAGGGAGGGAGGGAGAGAGAAAAAAGGAAAGAGAGAGAAAGAGGGGAGGGAGGGCGGAAGAGAGAAAAAAGGAGAGAGGGGAGAAAGAGGGAGAGGGGGGAGGGAGGGAGAGGCGGAGAGAGAGCGAGAAAGAGGGAGAGGGAGGGAGGGAGGAAGGAAGGGGAGAGAGAGAGAGAGAGAGAGATCAGAGCTGGGGGTGGCTCAGGCCGGCGTGGAGGATGGGATCCATGGCCGAGTTCTCCGCGGCCAGCTCGCCTGTCTGCCTTCCGCGGAGCGCCTGCATCTCCACCACGCTCACAGCTCCCCGACGCCACCTGCTTGGCGCACAACTCCGCTTCCCCCGAAGAGCAGCAACAACCATACCAGGTCTCCCAACGGGCTTTTGTGCAAAGGGTTGCCTTGCCCGTTTCCCCCTGTTCAAATGATCACAACTGGCGCCTCGCCCGAGCTTGCTGGAATCGCCTCTTTCCGCCGACGGGACTCCTCGCTCTCCCCACCACGCCGGCCCAGACTTTCCCCAACTGTTGAGCGCCCCTTCGCCCTGCCGAGCAGCCAGGCTGGAGGGAGCAACCTCTTTGGCAAGCACCTGCTCAGGAAGTGACGCGCCTCCCGGTTGCCAAGAGACGGGATGATACAGTCCGGGCTGGGCAGAGGTGAAGGTGCAGCCCAGCCGACTTCAGCCAGGATGCTACTTGAGGACCAGGACGCGGTTTCTCCTCTCCTGGAGGAGAGAACTGATGTTGTCGCCTAGTTTGGGTCAGGAAACGTCTGCAAGAAAATCACCAAGCTCAGAGAAGCACCAAGGACCCCACAGTCCTCCTCCTTCTCTCTCTGCAAACCCCACCAACCTTAAGGCCAAGATTCTCCTCCTCTTTGAGGAAGCCCTCTGTGCATGCTCTCTGCTACTCATGAACCAAAGCAGAGCACCCGGCTCTTTCAACATTTTAATTTTAATTATTTGACTATTTTAATTAAGGAGGAAAAGCAGCCAATCTCCAACCGTTAAGCAAAAAGCTCCAGATTAGGCTAAAATGCCTTCCCTTGCCAAATGCGTTAGGGACACATCAAAAGAATGGCTTTCCTTAAAAGAAGGGTTAATTGTATGCAAAGGCGGCTAATCTCCTTGAAGGCTTGCTTCATGCTGCTTAGCCAGGGCTGCTTAATTACCCCTCCCAATATAAATTTATTTATGGCTCTCTCTCTCCCCCCCCCTCTTTTTCTCTTCTCTCTCTCCTCTCTCTCTGTCTCTTTCTCTCGTCTCCCTCTCCTCTGTCTCTTCTCTCTCGCTCCTCTGTCTCTCCTCTCTCCTTTCTCTCTTGTCTCTCTCCCTCTCCTCTCTCTCCTTCTCTTCTCTCTCTCTCCTCCCTGTCTTTCTCTTGTCTTTTTCTCCTCCCTCTCCCCCTCTCTCTCTGTGTGTGTCTTCCCCCCCTCCTCCGTCAATCAACATTTGCCTGTCCCAGGTCTAAGCATCTGGCTGAGTATGCAATGGAGTCACAACATTTGGACCCCCATTGACATTGACACAACCCCTATAAGTCAATTGCAAAAGGCGGTTTTACTTGGAATGGCTTACATCCTGCAACCAGACCTTGAACATCATCAAGGAACAACGTCTGCCTGTCTGAGGTCTTTGGAAAGGACTGGATAGATCAGGGGTGTCAAACTCGCAATGTCACGTGACGTGTCACGACGTATTGCGACTTTTTTTTTTTTCATTGCTGGCAATGGGTTGGGTGCGGTTTCGCTAGGATGCATCCGGCCCACGGGCTGGCAGTTTGACACCCCTGGGACAGATGGACCAAACTGCCAAATCCAGTCTAAACATTGGGTTGGCTTGTACAAACAACCATAATCATAATTTATTAAATTTGTATGCTGCCTGATTCCCAGCCACTCTGGGTGGTTAACTACCAAAACATAGAACACAGAACATCATCCGAGTTGGAAGGGACCTTGGAGGTCTTCTAGTCCAACCCCCTGCTCATGCAGGCGACCCTATACAATTTCAGACAAATGGTTGTCCCATCTCTTCTTGAAAACTTCCAGTGATGGGGCACCCACAACATCTGAAGGCTAGTCATTCCACTGATCAATTGTTCTCACTGTCATGAAATTTCTCCTTAGTTCTAAGTTGCATCTCTCCTTGGTGAGTTTGGCCATGTCTAGTTTCTGAGCCCAGATGGCTATCTCATAAATCATGAATGATATTCTGGATTATGAATGGTTCATCTGTTCTTCACTTGATTCTTCCCCATATCCATTTCCCTTACGTTGTCCTTTTCTGTGTTAGGGGTGCTCGCCATCTGTTTCTCCATTTCCTCGTTCTTCATACACTTTTTTAACGGTGATATTCTGGTGGTCTTTTTCCCTTCCCCTTTATTCAAAAACACAGAGAGATTTTCCCCCCTCCCTCCCAAAAAAATAAATGGAATGACTCACGACATAAACCCTCCCCGAGTCTTTTCCGAAAACTTAGAATGAAATGGAAATGAATTATTTCACCATCACACAAAAAAAGTCCAATAAAATTACATGTAATTCATCACCGTGGATCCTTTTTTTAAAAAAAGAAGAAAAATGCAAAAGCACTGCTTCTAGAATGAGCCAGAATGAAAAAAGAGAAGGAGAGAGAATAAGGTATGAAAACATCAGATAGGGGAAAGGGTTTAAAATACTTCTGTTCCAAAAGGAAATGAAAAGAAATTGATTATTTTTTTTAAAAAAAAAAAGAAAGAAAAAAAAACCAATACGTTAGACCCCATTGAATGAAAAGGGCCGTTGGCTGATTATAGGACTGATAATTCCTTTTTTATTTTTTATTAATTTAAGGACTTTTAAGCTGTTTCTTTAGAAGCAACACTCACAAAAGGAACCTTTCCAAACCATTTTGAGTTTTTTGCATTTACAAAGAAGAGAATGAAGACGGTTCTTGCCATGGACTCCCAACGTTATTTATTTATTTTAAAAAAAGAAAAGACTTGCCGTGAATAAAAAAAGCAGATTTTAAAGGCTTTTTTTAAACAATGAAGCCCTGGAATTCCTAGGAAAATTCCGTGAATGCTTTAAAGTATGACCCGTCTTTCAGCCCGCCCATCTGTTGTGGTTGGATGGTTCTCTGGATCAACTTCTGACTTTCATTCCATATTTGAGACCTCAGACAACCTTCCATAATAACAAGGTAGGGTTGGCAATGGGTCTCTTTCATGCTCCCAAACCAGGAAGATGATTGAGCCAACCAGCTCATTCTATGTTGTTATGTTAGCCCTTAAAAAGAAAGCAACATCAAATAAGGGAGTTAAATGTACGTGTCTACGTGTCTGTCTTGATGGTTTTCACCCATATGTGCTCAGGTTAGGGGGAGGAACATCCCAGCCCATGAATGACATCTATCCATTACAGGAATCAGTTCAAGGGGAGGAGTGCCTGGCTTTCAAGAGAGACCTCTACACCTCCGAGGCCCCACGGACAAAAAACTGGGTACTACTTTTGCCAGCCCAACCCATTCCACCTTCAGAAGATCCAAAGCACCAAAGCAGATTAGAGGGTGAGAGTAGAACAACAAAGATGGTGTTCCGGCATCGGAGAGACTACCACAAAGAAGAGAGAGTCAACTTAGTATTCTCCAAAGTACCAGAGGGCAAGACGAGAAGGAATGGATGGAAATTAACCAAGGAGAGAAGCAACCTGGAATTAAGGAGAAATTTCCTAACCAGATGAATGGCTTGCCTCCAGAAGGTGTGGGTGTTCCATCACTGGAGTTTTCAAGAAGAGTTTAAATAACTCATTACTCTCCTAATCAAGGAGAGAGGCAACCTAGAATTAAGGAGAAAATTCCTAACGTTGGGAACAGCCAACCTTTGGAATGGCTCGCTTCCAGAAGTTGTGGTTGCTCCATCACTGGAGCCTTTTAAGAAGAGACTGGACAGCCATTTGTCCAAAATGGTAGAAGGTCTCCTGCTTGAGCAGGGGGTTGGACTAGATGACCTCTAAGGTCCCTTCCAACTCTGACGATGTTCTATCTAAGTTCCATGTTCTATCTATGTTTTGCCTAAGTTCTTGAGTCCATTTGTGTGTCCTGAAAAAAAACCCAGAGCATAAGGAGACCTTCACAGTGTAATAGTGAACATTTGTGACAAGACTCTCTAGGCTACATTCACTAAGATCTGAAGAACACACACATCCTAAAAACCTTGAGGCTTTATCCTTTGCATTCACACCTCGCTTTTCGAGCAACTATTAAGCAATGACCCTGGATGCAACTATTAAGCAATGACTTGATTCACGGAGGAGGGGGGGGGGTTTCTCTGTTCTATGAGGAACAGCTGCTGCCTTTCGAAATAGAGATTTATTTATTTATTTTACTTTTTCTTCTTCAAAGGAATTCTAAATGCCAATTCACCACTGAACAAAAAGTGAAAGGTGCTTACGATTGACCTCCTAAACGAGAGTGATTATGTTTGGCACCAGAAGCAGGAGAAAAACCAACAAAGATGGAACAATGGATTAAAGTGGTGTTTTTATTGAGGGGGGGGAAGCCTAAAAGCACGGGAGATGGGCTATTAAGAATTGGGGAGAAACAAGCAAAATCAGTGTGAACAAAAGCACCTGTTTTTCAAGAGCTGGAGAACAAGAGGTGAAAAATGAACGAAAGATTATTTCCATTTTCCTTGTATGCTAGATTCGAGCTTTTTTCCCAGCTGGGGATGATGGCAGATGTTAATCTTGGCCAAAGGTGAGGGAAATGCCTGTGTGATTAGAATATAGAAAAATAGAATAACAAAGTTGGAAGGGACCGTGGAGGTCATCTCGTCCAGCTCCCTGCATGAGCAAAAGAGTCTCTACCATTTCAGACAAATCACTGTTCAATCTCTTCTGGAAAACTTCCAGCGATGGAGCATTCACCGCTTCTGGTGGCAAGCCGTTGCACTGATGGAC